CCAGTCGTCCACTAATGACTGGCTTCCCCTTTTGTATTTTTGTTTTGTTATTTTATTTTACTTTTTAATATTTTTTCAGATCTTTTTAAAATTGTTTTTCAGATCTGTGTGCGTGTGTATGTTTAGGTATCATCACTGCTGCTGCCGCCGATGGAAGGATACAGCAACTAGGTATCTCACACCACTAAGACTTAGAATCTAACATCCTAAGTGTCCCTAGCCTACTTAATCCGCCGTAGTCGGCAATTTTTAGGCCGTAGTCGGCAATTTTTAGGCCGTAGTCGGCAAATCCCCAAAAGCGCCGAGGCTTCCCGTCCCCTTTAGTGCCGAGGCGTTGGCTGGATGGCGGCTTATCCGCTGTATCCTAAACTCGGGTGATTGGCCTGGCAAGCCCTTCAGCCACAACTGACTCGGTCCTTTTTGTGCCGAGTCAGGCTAATCGGCACACAAATCCCAACGGCCCTCTTTAGGGCCATCAGATATTTGTGTTGTTTGTTTTTTAATTATTCATAGCATGAATATGTTCACAAATTATAGCTTGTTCATATGATTGGTTAAAAACTCGGGAAAACATTTTGGAACTAAAAAGTGAAAATAAATAATTGAAGGGGGATAAAGGGAAAATTATAAAGCAGAAAATAATTAATATTTAATTGGTTTCAATTCGAATTTAGAATTAAATTCACATCGTAGTTTAGAGAGTGGTGCAGTTTTTCAAAAGGTGTATGCACATTTTTCTGCATACAGTATTATGGTAAGGGGAAATTAGTGTCTCTTTCGTATAAAAGCGAAATTAGCTTTTTTATTACGAAAAAAATAGAAAGTTTAATAGAAGAAAAATTCCCAGTAGTTATATGCGTATTTTTTAAATTGTTTTACATTAATATTCAAAAATATTCTAATTCGAAGATATTTAATAATTTTAAGTCACTGATCTAATATAAGGAGTACCCGTGGATAAGTGGACAAACATAGCCAACCAAACAAAGCTAATAATGCAATGTACGGTGATTGAGAAGGCGCCAGTTTGGTTTATTTAAATTTAACATAACGAAACTGCACGCAAACTGTGTCATTGTGAGTTTTTTTTTCAAAAATCGGTTAAATAGGAAAAAATCGTTTTTTTTTTGCTAAAATATTGGTTGCTTAAAATCAAGAACCGTTTGAATCGCATAGATTCATTTGCTTGTTTTTTTTTGAGTTATTTGCATCACCCATTCAGTTATTATAAAAAAAAATAGGCGCATTTTTTTCTCGTCGCCAATTTCCTCATCTCATATTTTCCGTCGCTAATGATTCATTACATTGTGCCGATGAGCTCAGCCTTTCAATTTTTCTTCTGTGCAGCGACATTATTTTAACCATATTTAATTATAAACGACACTCTCTTATCCATTCAATATTTACATCATTTTCCAGTAACGACATTACTTATGAAGTAATACATTAAAACACAATGCTCCACTTTTAGAAGTTATGGTTAATCTCGCGTGCAAATTCAATTTGTGACATCATCACAGGAGAAAAAGTTGAGAGCTGGGGTGTCAATAATGATTTTTAATGATATTGACTCTTAATGATGCTTGTTTTGATTGAAAGCAGATGATTCAATTCTGATTTTGACATTTTAGTTATCTTAAAAAGATATTTTCAAACAAGTCTTAGCTCTCTAGAATTCTTTCTTAATTTAAAATATATTTTTCTATAATGAGCTTTTCTGGAGTTTTTTCTTTTATCAATTTTTTCCGACGTTTTAGGTATATAAAAATTATTATATTGAAGCCGATTTTATAAGCTTCAGGAATCATCCTTAATTTAAAATATTGCAATTACTTTAGTGAGCTCATCTAATTTTTTTTAAAATTTCCCTTTAAGTTTCTCTTTTCCATGAAAAATATTTCGTGTTTATACTGTACTTTCTCAGTGACTAAAAATAATAATGAAGTCCACTTCATCTTCTAGAATATTTTTCATCAGATTGACATTGACATTTCCCCAAAATTAGTTTGATTATTCCGTTTTCCTATTAGCCGGAGTCTACTATACATAGCTTAGCTCATAAAAATTTGCTCCTTTTACAAAATTGGCAATTAGAGATTGTCTCATTTTGAGCGAAGGATACACTGAGCTCAATTTTTAAATACACTTGCACATAGAACGTGTCTCAAAAAAGAGTGCCGTATATTTAAATAAATGCGGTATGAAACTCAATTAACAAAGTTCACTTCGTTAGATATAAGCGTTCTAAGATCGGAAGAGAAAGGTGTTATTCTGAGAAGGCGTTTCCTTTAATTGTTAATTGTTTGACACTGGGAAATTCCTCATTCTCATTTTTTTCCTCGCTAATTAATCATTCATCCACCCCGCTAGTGAAACTTTCACGTCCATGTTTTGTGCACTTTTCGGTTTTCATGAGCCATGAGCGGAATGAAAAAACAACAACAACAACAACATTTATTTTCAACCATCGTACTCGTTTTCAATTTCGCGAGTCTTTTGTCACCTTGCGAGAGCGTAATCATTCACAAAAAAATTTAATTTGCAAACGTGCATCACGAATTCACATCAAAATCTAATGCGAACACATAACAATAAATGGTGGTGGAGAAAACACGGCGAATTTATGGAATTTTTTTTCTACAAACGTCATTTGATTGAAAAAAATAGTGGGTGTGGCTTCATGGTTTATTGTATTGCTCCAAAAGCCTATCATTAGCTTGCCAGGTTTCCAGTGAAGGGGTGTGGTCAAAAGAATTTCTCGATATATTTTTTATCTTTATCAGAAAGCTCGCATCTCGAGCCAAATTTACTCATACCAATACTTTACGTTGTATTAGTATAGATTGTGAGAGGAATCGAACAACACGCTCGACATTGTTATTTTTAAGTTCCTTTTTGTTCAGTTGGTGGCTTATTATGATACAATGGGCCGCAATTCTGAATTCTATTACTCTTTTCTCCCAGCCATATATTGCACTTGTAATCATGAACACATCAGACCACATCTCTCATGAGCCTAGCTAGCCTATTACATCCACACTTGCCACAGAATCGAACCAATTTTGAATAGCTGGTTACTATGACTCTAGCTCTATTATCATGGCAGGATTGCTCGGATTGAATCTTGCTTCTTAGTTTGACTCATTCCATCAAAAAAATTGTTTTGCATTTTATTTGAGCTTCATTCGAATACTAAACGAAATGATTTCAAGTTTTGACTTTTAAACATTTTGGGAACAAAAAACAATTTATGCGATCTCACTCGAGACAATGCATAATTAAATTATGAAACTCGATCCTTAATCAACATTCATCATCAAAAAAATATTTATGTTTTTAATTCTTTTCATTAGTTGTTCGCACTTTAAAATATACATTAAAATTAAATATTTAAGACAATTTTAAAAATTTCTCGATGGAAAACACTCAAATAATTTTCAAGCTTCTCAAATATATGTCTGTTTTCTCATTCCATTATTATTATATTTCTTGTAGGCCAATGCACGCTAGATAATTTTTCACACGTAAATAACTGCGACAGTAATAAAATAAGTTGTTTATAATTAATTTTAACGCTCTAGGAGCATTTTTGTCATATATTACGCATGATTCCTGATGCAGAGAAATCTTGGGTTAGGTTAATTTCTAATCAAGATATAAGAGCACGAGCAACCAAAATGAATGATATCATTGTTTGCAAATGTTTGGCGAGTTTGAGACGTGCTTCACATTTCCTTGGATACTACTCGCATGCAGATAATCATTCAAAAATCTTGCGAACCCTTATTTTGCCAAATTTGCCAAATTTCACCTGTGCCCGGATTAGTGACCTCCGGCTATTCATGTGAAAACTGAGAATTCTCCTCCCCGCTGCCCTTATTTTGTCATTCTATACAAATTCGAAAACACGAATTCAGGTTTGATCTCTTATAAGATTGCAAAAAATGTGTCTGAAAATGCTGAAAAGATTTTTGGACTTTCGGCTTAACCTTTTTTTCACCCTGCAAAGCAGGAGACCATTAAATGTTATGTGCTTGAACCAGTAATGCTTTCTTATGTTACAACCCAACTTTTTAATCTTATGACAACAAAATTCCAGCGCTCATTTGTGTGTGTATTTTTTCAAGCATCACAATCCCAAAATTCAAATCGGATTTCAATTTTGTTTAGCTTGATAATCGCTTAATGCTTGATGCTTGCGATTTTTCTGATTTATCATTTTGTTTTTTTTTTATACATGAATAATAAATTAGCAAAATTAACAAGTTGAAAGTGCAAATAAACATTTGTGTATTGCGCAAATAGATTGAAATCAAGGAAGAAAAAAAAGAATTACACTTCCGTGTGAATCATTTCCGAAATTATCCGTCGCCTTGCACAAATCCTAAATATGGAAAGTCAATTCTTTATTCTGTTTTTCTGGTTTTTTTTCGCGTTCTCCATAATTAAAAAAAAGAAGAAGCGATTTCCAAAAACTTTTGCCTTGGATACAATACATATTTTCGCATTTTGAGCAAATTTTCAGCATGCTTAATGTCCCTATTGTTTGATTTTATTTCTTGACAATTATTATTTGAGTGAGACCTTACTATGTCAATGTTCGTTTGTAGCTATTGGGACACTGAAGGCTCTCAGAAGAATTATCTCTGAGTCAATGGAAAATGATATCCATTCACAAATGAATCCCATTTCAAGATTAAAACTTTGATACTGATGAATGACATTTTTCATTTAAATTTTTAAAAAGTCATTTTTTTTAAATTTGCAAATTTTTTAAGGGTTCGTTTCAGTCAAAGTTTGTATTTTTTTCTGGGAAATGTCTTGAATTATAGGCTTGAAAAAGATTGTTTGCCAAATGTTGCAAAACAAATATGTTATTTGTTAAAGGTTCTCCAAATTCGTGCAACTTTTTTCTTCTGAACAATTTCCTGAAAATTTCCAACAAATGCTCAACTCATATAAAATTTCCTACTGTAGCATTTATAGTTCGCCATTATTTCATGTTTGTATGGGTATATGACGTCGATGTTTACGATTATTTTGAAAACGCGAGGTATCTATAATTATAAGATTGCTCTAGTCAATCCACCGTACCTGAAAATTGCCACCTTGATATTTTATCAACAATATGTTTTCACATAATTTTCTGCACGAATACATTTTTCTGCATTTACATTCTAAATACAAGTTTTTATGTCTTAATTTCTTGAATTGTAGTGATCGCTGAGAAGATGAAAATAAGTAAACAAAACTCTGATCGTTGGTTCTTCTTGGATTACTATCCTATCCCATCTATATCTAATAGAATGGATTAACGTTTTTCAACGTTTTAAAACAAATATGAACACTTTAAAATGCCCGTAATGAGATTTTCGTCATTATTTTTGCGGTTTTGCTGTTTTTCCGCAAACATTCTCTTAAATAAAAGCCATTCTATATATATGATGTATCTTGTTTTCAGACTATCGATTGATTTCATGTACATTCGAGATGTCATCGAAAATATGGAAGCAACACCTGAAACTGTGCTCGTCGTCTTATCAGCAACAGTTCTGATTGTCATCTTTGCCGTCATCGCTCTATTCATTAAATCGAGAAATCAGTTGAATTGGTATGTCAGGTTTCTTTAAATTATTTTCACAAAATGAGATAAATTTTGAATGCTTCATAAATGAATAAAACTAAAAATATGTTCGACTTATTCTTACGATTTTTTGCTACACGGTTTATTAGTCCAGAAATCAGCGATTGATTTCAAAGTGTGCATAATTTACATTTAAGTTGTGAGCATAATAAATTAAATGTTATTTATGCGCAATTAAACAAAACTACTTAGAATAAACTAGAAACTTTCATTAGAAATGTGACAAAATTAAAAAATATTTTTCTTAATTTTAGGTATGAACAAAATGTTCTTGATTTGGGATATACTCCAATGCGCCTCCGGTGCCCTTCATTTACGAGAACCGATACCGAAGAAACAACTGTATCGGATATTGTCGAGTAACTTATAAATTTTTCTGGAAGATTACCAATTTTTTTTCCATTATTTTCAGGCAAGGCTCACCGAGTCGGCCATTTCGCGAAGCCGCCACTCTACCGATACCGAAAGGCGATCTGACTAATTTGTTCATGATCCCAACGGCTAAAAATCGCCCCAGAAGCATGTTCTCCAAGCTCCATTCAAACCAATTCGATCGTGGAATGTATCAATTCCCGGTATGCAATTATTAAAGTTGATGAAGAGACTTCGAAACATTTCAGATGGGCGATGAATCTGCGTGCAGCTCTGTCAATATGGTTGCAACTGGCTCAATCCAAATATGTGTCAGTCACGATGCTAATTTGAACTTGCTCACAATCACTTTGAGACAAGCTATTGACCTGCCATCGAAAAGGGAGGATGATAACCCAAACCCTTATATGAGAGTTACCATGGAGGTAGTAGAATATTTTGATACTAGCTTCAAGAGATTGTCGAGTTTTAGATTCCCGAGCAAAGAAAACCTGCAGTTGAGCACCAAACTAAGACATTCATGGCAACAGCTTCACCGACAATTAATGAAGATTTCTTCTTTTCGGTTCCCGCAGATCAGATTGCGCAATGCCGATTGGAAATCATGGTCTATGATTTTGATCAATTCAGGTTTTAAAAATTGATGCTTTATAAAGCATATTATAAAATTGTCAGTGTTGATGAGTGCATCGGCTATTGCTGGCTGACACTTGGACGATTGAGCCCATCATTTGAGCATAACACCCCAACAGTATTTTGGGCTGAGGTTCTTCCTTACGAAGACAATGAAAGTGTACGAATCGAGCACAATATTTTCAACAACAATTGTGTATTTATTTGCAGGGCTATGGACAAATTCTGTTTTCTCTTGCGTATCTGTCACATGCTCAGCGGCTCACCATGAACATCTTCAAGGTTCGCAACATCAAGACGAAAACTGACGGAAGTGAGGAAGCAATTATCCATGATTATCCAATGGCCTTTTATATTCAGATATTTGTTTGCGCGTGACCCTTTATAGCGCTAACGAGAAGCCATTAAAGAAAAAGAAAACGTCATCGAAGAAATGTGGAAGAACTGTGCATTTCAATGAGTGCTTGACATTCAGCGTTCCAAAACACTCGCTTTGCGATGTCTTTTTGCTTATTGAGGTTTGAATACTCAATTACAAAATAGTTATGCCCAATTTCAGTTGAGCACGGAAACCGGAACATTTCTGATGGCATCACGCACGGTTGCCCGAATGTTTTTGCCAATTCACAAGTATTGCAATTCGCGCATTATTGACCCAGCTTACATTGTTTTTTCAGGTGTAAAGACTTGTGGCGAGCGATAATCCGCGAGGAGAAATCGCAGGCACGATGGTATTCGCTGGAAGCTCCATAAGTTTTTACTGTTAACCAACATTTTCTATTCAATTGAGGCGAGGGTGCAAGTAATAAAGGTCTTGGGTACAAATGCTAGTCCCGAATCCAAAAGTTGTTTTTTTTTTCTTGTTTGCAACTTGAAAGGGAATAAAAGGCCAATTATCGTTGACATCTAGAAAATGGTCGAAAGGTTGAAGGAGTGTTTTGGAAAAAACAAATGGTTCATAAACCAACATCCTTATGAAATGTTTTTGGAAATGACAAACGTTGAAAGGTTTTGGAAATGGCGAATTAGTTTGCAAAAAGTAACACAAATTTATCAAACGTGTTGGAAGCCCGGAAGTTACAGATTTCATTCCACTCTGCAGAAAAAGCTATAATTGATTTTGTTTTAACGTCACGAAACCCTTCACGTAGGCACTTCGTACTACAGAGTTGGAAATTTCAAAGGCGTTGACAAATTTCGCAAGGCTAAAAATCAAAGAATGAAATTCAAATACAATGTAGCCCTTCACCGATCAAAGTTCAAACATGCATCCATATTTGAGTAGACAAGAGATCTAAAAAATTAAACAAAGCGAAGCAGGCATCCAAAAAAAAAGTGTTAAACCATTTACCATTTGTGTAAACATTCGGATTTTCATTGGGAAATCAGTTCAACGCGATGTTGCCATTAAGACTCGTCACTACTTCGATTTTCGTATTCATCGTCGTTTATGCCCAAAATTGTGAAGACGTGATCTCGTCGTGCGACGACTTGAAGTCAATCTGCATTGGAAGTATTCTTGAATATCAGCTGAAGCAAATCGTGTCGTTGGCTTCTCAATTGAACAGGTCTGACTGAAAAAAAATATTGAATTCATCTTGATTAAATTTAAAAAAAATGGTTTTCACGATGTAATATAAAATTTTATTAGAGAACGTCGTTTTTTTGAAATTACAAAATATTTTGGAATAACGCCCATCATTTTAATAAAAAGCTTCAAGGTGTGTGAAGCCACTGAATATATTCAAACCCCATTATTTTGAAATTTGAGATTGACGAATTCTATTAGGCAAGTTTTATGAGCATTTCCCCTCCCCCTGAGGCGCAATTTCATCGCCTCTCTTGTCATCTCTCGTTCTCATCACATATTTATTTACTTCCTATTTTAACGCCTCAAAGCTTTTTTTAATTACACATTTCTTTATTTTTTTCAGCTCATCAATTCCAGTTCTTGAGAATTCACTTCCACAAGTTGAGTCGGAGTTGCCGCTGGTTCTTGGTAATCAGAATGGCGAAACTAGCAAGCAACCGTCATCTGATTCTGAGACTCTCATGGTATACCAACAAAATAAAAAATTCCCAGTGCCTATAATTTCGAAATTGCAGAAAAATCTTCCACTTATCAAAGAATCTTTGCCTTTAATTCGAGAATCACTTCCGCTAATTCGCGAATCTCTCCCATTAATTCGAGAATACCTTGACCCATTGTTTGACAATGGCAAAACGAGTTGTCAGAAAAAGGAAATTTGTAAAAGTGATTGATTTATCACATGTTTTCTTTGCATTATTAATATATTTCAAGGCTGTAAAGCATGCCCGAAGCTTCGCGAGTCGCTGGTGAGATTTGTCGAATCACTGTGCCCCAACACCTGTAGAGTTTGCGCCACATCAAGTAAGATAGTTTCTCAACATTGCCTTAAATTAAGTTTCAGCGGATCTTGGAACCAAATCCCAGAATTTGGCAGCTGTATATCTTTAAGTTAAAGCTAATGGTGAAATAAACATGATTTCCTTTTCGTTATTCCGGAGATTAAAAATGCCAAAAAAAAGTTAAATATTTATCAATCGCAAAAAATCACCTTTTTTCTTTCATTGCTCATGTGATAAATAAAAGTCGTACTTTATCTGAATATGGGATATTTATAGTTCTTTGAAAATAAAACCGATATTGTGGAGAAATAAACAACAACAGTCTATGACGGCTTTCTTCTTCGGGCCCGAAGTGCATGTTTTCCTTATGACATGCATATTTGGGAAAACATGACAAACGACCAAAAAACCATCAACGGAGCAGCAGGTGAAAAGAATTAAATTATGCAAAAATAAATCCCTGAAATAAGGAACATGATGCTTGATTTCAGAATTACCTATTATTAACAAACATATACTGACGTATCTGAGCAATAATGAAAGTTTTAACGGGAAAATTATGGGAAAAATTGCAAGAGGAAAGCGAAATTTTTCGTTGAAAAAATTTTAAAATGTTGGCTGATTTCGAATTTTAAGTTATTCAAATCCTATCTGTTAGTTTTCAGAACCAATGATTACATCGTTTTTATCATTTCAAAATGTGACAAAAAATTTAAAAATAATTCTCAAAAAAAAAGAATACTTAGAAATCAAAGATGACAATTAAAATATTAAAAAATTATACAAACACCAGTTTCTTAAAAGTATTGAAAATATTTGTGTGAATCAACTTACAAATTGATGTATCCAATATTCCCATTTAATGAGTTTTCAAATTTTCAGTTTTATTTTTGTCTTTATGTGAATATTGATTGTAAAAAGTATGCACAAAAAAATTTTTCAGTTTCTCGTCGAAGAATTCCACACGCCGAAATCAAATTATCCACCACTTCTTTTTTCAATTTCAATGCATTTGATGAATTTCATCAAGACAATTTTTTATGAATTGTCGACTTTGTACAAATTTGCGTCTTTTTCGTCGATCTCAAACAATAAAGGAAAAACGCAGACAGTAATACAACTGATGATAAATTATTATGAGATCTTATATTTTTCTCAAACTACGGTTAGTTATTAATATTTCTAATAACTTCTATAAGAAGGACAATAACAATAAGGTATTTCAGGGAAAGGGGGGATAGGATTGTATTATTTATGGAATGATGGTACTTCAATATGAAGCAGAGGGTATAGGGTTTTCATTTAGTTATAGGTCCACGTTTGGAAGACAACAGTGTTCGATTTTCCTTCGTCATCCTTCCACTGAGTCCAAAGCTTGCTGGCAATTGAAGCAGCGAGAACAATTTTGTTGTCCTTAGTAACCGTTTTGAATGGTTTGATTCCCGTTCTAAATTTTTCATGTTCAATGGAAACATTTCTAAATAAGCTTCTTCTCACTGAATAGCTTTTTGGAGTAGATCAATTTCGACCGCATTTCCGAGCCCTTTGCGACGATGATCTTCGAACACGTATTGATTATTGAAAAAACCGGCCGGATCGATCATCTCGAATGCCACCGGCTGTCCCGAAAAACGAACGCATGTGGATGGCAAGCGAGCAAGTTTGGCCCTGCAAAAAGAAAAGAGGAAATTATGAGAATTTTTACGATTGATTCTTGTCGCAATCGATTACATCCACAATATTGAGATATCTTACATCGTTTGCTCAAGATCTCCAGGGCCAGCATGCTTCCATGTGTTGTTCACAAGCTCAGCCTCATCAGTTGGCTCGATCTGAAATTTGAGTCAAATGAGAATTTTCCAAGCTATATTCTATTGATCTACTGACGTCATCGTAATAATATCCAGCAGGAAGATTCGGAAGTGGAGTTTTCATCGCCGCCTTTTGCTGGCTCTCCGTCATGTAGAACAACGACAAATTGAGATCAGTCGATTCCCAGTTGCTCGATTCCATTCTCATCACAACCGAGTACTGAAAAATAGAATATTTTAGAAGCGAAGATCAACAATTTTTTAGTTTTATGCTCCCATGAGATACAGTATTTGCACAAAATTCTGCACAAATCGCCTGAAAATCCATATTGATAGAATAATGGTGGATTATTTACCCGTTTTCTTTTTATGTTTTTGTGTTGATGAGATTAACCAATTATTTGGCTTCCCATAGGATTACGGTACTCCGTTTCATTCGGATATACATATAAGAGAAAAAAAAAGAGGAAAGTGCGATTTTAATTTATTTTTAAATGCTCCTGAAATCATTTGAACTACTCATCATTCCTGAAATTAGTTTAGCAGTTCGATTAAGACCAATTTTGAATTTTGTGTTTCAATTTTTTTCTAAAAGAAGAGAGCTCGCAAGCATTTCGTAATTGAAAATAATAAATCATTCTTAGCGCGAGCTCGTCTTCTTTTATTTCAAAGCATAGAGATCGAACCATTTTAATGAGAAGTTCCTTGGCAATCACAAGATGAGCTTGACGCTTGGCGCCGAATACACGTGTTCTGAGTAATGAATAAGCGAAGAGGTAAACGCAAGTAACAAAAAATCTTCTTACCTAAACTCGCGAATGCATTCAATGAGCTCGAGACGATCGAATGGAGTTCCTGGGATCTGCGCAATGGCGACATATGGCCTATAAGGTGTTTATGTTTTAATTCATTCGATTCCGTGTAATATTACTTAATGTAGACGTTGTCCTTGAACATGAAGAAATATTTCGGATTGTTGATGCATGGATAGCAGAAGACGCGCACCGGCGATTCCGGGAAGCTGTCAATGTGGGAATAATAATAGAGGTGAGCTATTATCTAGTACCTTTGCTCCAGTTGAGTTTGAATGGAGAATGGAAAATAGATGGTCTCGACGTAACGCGACGTGATCACCTGCGCTTTCTTTAATTGCTCTCGGGAAGTTACTTCAATAAGCGATGGATGCATCTTTGCTTAAAAGACGTAATGCGTTGATAAGTCTGAAATTCAGAAGAATTATACATATAAGAGAATTATAGAAGAATTCATAAAAACTAGGATTACGGTAGTTGAGCTATGAGATGCTGGAGGGCAACAGTGTGCCACCATCACCCGACATTCTCATTTGGAATTGTGGATATGGGCTGGGCCAAGCTCCATCTTTTCTTTTCGCGCCCCAACCCCTTCCGTCAAAGGCGTGTCTTTAAAAATTTCAGGGGCGGGTCAACCACAAGATGAAAGCAGCGTGCGCGGCGCGGAGAGCCGGCAAGAGAAAGAAGTACGGCCGAGTCGTAAGCGGAAAATAGTACGGCATAGACATCGAGATCTTAGTCATGGATAGCCGCGGAGAGCGAGCAGACGGTCGCTGATACACTATGTCAATCCGCGAGACATTCGGCCAAGGCGTTTTTGCAGGCCTGCTCTCCAATAAAGGCGGGCTCCCCCTCCCCTCCCTCTCTCTTCCCCACGACGCGATCTCCGTCAGAAAAGAGATCTTTGTAAAACGGGTGTGGAGTAGAGACGAGAGCGATAGACCGCCGTTGATGAACGCTTCATAGAGACGCAGGGTTTCACATTTTTTTTTTCGCGGCTTCTTCTTCTTCTTCTTCTGCTGCATCGTGGACTTTCGCCTTACTACGTAAACGTTTTTTTTGACGACACACAACACAGAAGTTGTGAAAAAGAGTGATTTTTAACCCGATGGCATTCAATTTTTCTTTTGCCGAGGCTCTAAGATTTGTCTACAACATTGATCATTGACATATGGATTAAAGAAATCTAAACAATGTATGGAAAAAAAATTGAAATTGAAGCTCGATGTCACCTGATACGGCAAACTTTGCAGTAAAAGCGAAAAGAAAAATCGGCGGAGAAACTCTTCAATAGAGCAAAGTAGTCAGAAATGTGCCATCATATATGGAAGATTTAGAGAAAATTCCAGGATTATCTCAGGTCTCCATGACACTATCTTAAACTCAATAAAAATTTTGTGACAATATTTCTTGAAGAAAAAATTTAAAAAATGGAAAATTTCATATATAAAAAAAATGTTTGAAATTTCCAGATTTTCTTAAAAAGAGCGTGAATCCATCCTTCTGACCTCATTGGCCAAAATCACTTGTTTCATGGCGGACCTGCTCAATTAGGTGACATCATCACAATGCAAATATTTAGATACCGTAATACCATGTCATTCAGGTTTCTTTTGCGATGTAAATACTCTCTGAAATCTTCTTTTTGAAAACCGCATGACACATGTTTCTCAAATTAGCAATTTGAGCAAATTCGCGCCAAACAAGCTTTTCATCGCTCATTGGCTCCGATTTCCTTTATTGTTTGCGCAGGATCAAAGATTTAAGAACCCATCATTGTTGTTTTAGTTTTATTGGTATTTCGAAACGGACTGCTAATCGCCGCTGTGATGAATCGTTTTCAATTTATTAGCGGGGGTGCTATACTTAATTAATTATACAGAAAAAAAGCAATTTAATAACAAAATTTTTTTCTAATTATTTACCATGTTTCATAGTTATAAGCTCGTGATGGATAATAGAATTAATAATGTCCTAAAAACGAACAATGTCCTTGCATCAAAAATAACAAAATATTCGTAACTATAATAGAATTCAACAATGTTGCTCTTCAATGCGGGAAAATTTAATTTGCATTCCCTCATAAATCAAATTTCCTTTTAAGGGTTTTCCAAAGCTCCAAGTTTTTTTCAAGCATTGGTGAAGCCCCCCCCCACACCTAACAAGGTAATAAGATGTATTTGTATATGTGTTATCACAATAATACGGAAATTGTAGTGGTCAACAACTCTGTATTGAAAATCTGGGCAAGAGACAAAATCGTTTGTATGCAAATAAACGTTTTCTCGAGGGAAAATGAATTTGCAATATTTTTGAAATTTTTTGTAGGGTTACCTTGCTTTTTGGCTTCAAAATTTTTTTCAAAATCCCGTTCATATCAAAGATTTCTTATTGAAATTATCAACAGCTTATTCCCACACAATCATGTGTCAAATAACGTTCTTTGATTGAGAAACTTTTTTGTCACCGTATATTATGTATAATGATATCGCACACGTCATTTCTCGCGTGTTGCGTTGCTCGGCGGAGCTCTTGGGAAACCCGGGGAATACCCCTTTTCACTCGACTGCTGCTCGCGCGCGTGCGCGCCGCTCTCCGCTTGCGTGCACGAGCAGTCGCCCAATAATCTTTAAAAATGCCGGTCGCGTTTGTGTGCGCGCGCGCGTTGAGACGCAGAGCTGGCACATTACACAGTGCATTGTGCCTTTCAAAAATTTCCATTGGTCATCCGAAGAAATATTGTGAGTGTGTGTGATGGTGGGAAACGAGGTGATCAACGGATTGCCGAAGCAAAATGGAACGAAGAGTGGCGGGAGCAAAAAGTTATTGGGATTGTTATATGGATGGAAAAATGATGAGCCAGCGCCACCGGAAATCCTGCAATATGTAACGCAATCCATCTATCTAATCGCCCCTGGATACATCGGAAAAATTGAAAAAAAAATTGGCGATCATTGGAAAAAAGAAACTTTGGCCAGAATCTTGGAATGAGATGTTTCACACCTTATATTGGAAAACATAAAAATTTTATGAATTTTTTCTGGTTTAACGAAATAGAATCCTTTTCAAATTTCTTTATTTGAACTGGAATTCCCAAATGTAGACTTCAACTTTCAAAATTAAGCACTTCTCTGAATTCAAAGCTTCTATTATTCTAAAAATAGAGCAAACAAGACTTTTGAAACTTCTTCGGAAACCCTTTGAAGTGTGAAAAATGTCATAGTTATGTAACCTGAAAAATTATTACGTCATACTCCTGACAATTTCGTTGCAGAATAATTGAATATTTTATAGGTACTACGCAAGCCGAATATAAATCAGGTTGTCTCTTTAATCCATTGCATTTTTTGAGGGACTTCCAATTTATATTTTTCACCTCCAATTATAAATACTCTTCATTAATATTAGTTTGAAGCACTCATCCTGTTTTCGTATCCCAAACCGGAAATATGTCAGAACGGGTGTTGTTATAGTTTCACATAGTTTGGTTTTCAAGTAATTTGGGGGAAATTTTTCAAAAAATTTTGAAACAGTGTTCTCAGAACTCGAGCAAAGTTCATTTTAAAATGGAAGCGCCTAATATTTGCAGACGTTTCTTCCTGGAAATTGGTTTAGAGATTGAATTTGTCGAAACATGATTGATTGCTTTATTCACGTGATGTTCTTCTGTGGCCAGCTCGGCCAATAAGTAGACTGAAAGAGAATAAAATGAAAAATGTCAAACGCAATTTTTTACCGCGTTTCTTCACAAGTTGTCAATTTTCAGATTCTCTACTATATTAACATTATGCTTAGCCATCTATTCTGACAAAATAATCTGGAAATAACTTAATCGCATTTCCTTTGAGGTCTGTAAAAATTAACAAAAACAAGATTTACTCTTTTTCTGTTCCATGAAGATTAATTTTTGAAAGAGCATATGTTAGATCTTCTGTTAGTGGTTTACACATACCAGGGTCATGTTCTACACATGGCCGTATGTGTGGTGACTCAATTAAAAATATAAAAAGAAAATAATGTTGTTTTTTTTTCAAATTGAAACTATCCTAAGAAAATTTTTTAACTAGCGGCTGAAAAATTGAATAAGGCTCACATCCGAAATATCGGTACATCGTGCTTGTTCCTCGGAATTGCTTGATTTTAATTAAACATTCCCAAGTCACGAGAAAATTTTCGCATCTATGTGATATATTAGAATTTGGTTTAACTTCCTGGGACGGGCTAGAAAAAAGTCAATACATATAATTTAAGTGTTCATTGGATATTCATTAACATTCGAGTCGCATGCTGTCTATTGCTTGATGGATATTCGGCTTGTACTAAACCAAATAAAAAAAGAGCTGGATGAATAATTTCGACCAAAGAACAGATTAATTTTCAAAGAACGTTCAAAATAGGCTAGAATACAAGTCCAATTTGACAAGCCAATTGTTCTCTGAGATAAGAAAGAAATCTGCATTTCTTGGGAAAACTTGTAAGAAACTTCAAGAAAATTCAGTTAATCATGCCTACTAGGAGTATATTATATAATTTAAGGGACTTTTAGAATGCAAAATAAATCAAATATTAGAGATAAGCATTTTGATACCTGTTTTCTATTCTCAAACCACTAAGCATCGATGCTGTATCAAAAGAAAAAATGAGACCAAAGTGTCTGGAGCACAAGGAGCATCAGCAAAATAACAAAAGTGGGCATTTCGCCAAGAATGGCATAAACAAAAAACAACAGCAAGATTACTTTTTTGAATTCTCTAACACGTGATTCAAAACTGTAACATTAAGAGCGGGCTATTGAATATTGTTTCTTTATCAAAATTATTTTATGTTCTTAATTTAATTAATTATTCTAAAATTTAATAATAAAAATTTGAAGAATTCTTATTTAATATATACAATTTATAACAAACATCAGATTTATTTAACTTGATGAACCAACGAGTTTCGTTTGAGAGGTTCCAGAAATATAGGAATTCATTTCATTTTTATAAATATGTTTCAAGATCAAAAATATGTAAAAATTGTCCAATTTTGATTTCACATTTGTTTGACAACGAAAAAGTGTGTCTTGAAGAGAAAGACGAAGAAGAGGAATTCTCCACACTACAAGGAATTGGTCTATAATAGCTCACGAAAACCAAAACACGTTGATTGATTTTGTCCGCTGTAGTAGCAGAAAAAATGGGTTCTAAAGCAGAAGAAATTATATTAATTGTTAGGATGAATTGATTATGACAGTTCAATTTAGTGAATTTGCAATGTCGAATTTGTTATTATACCCAATGCCATCACATAAAATTTGACGAATTTGGAACTGAAAATGACTAATTTGATAATTTCGCATAAAAAATAGGTGTCTTAACAAATTATTTCAAAATT